ACGTTTTTGTGAGATTCTGAAAAGCTTGTTCAGCACCAACACAAAGAACAAAGCACTGAGGTGGACTTATTTCCAGCAGAACGTCACACAAACATGTGATCAGGGTTTGTAGCATTAAAAACACAACTGTGATCTGTGTGTGTCTCATATCTCTGGAAACAGTCGGACTTCTACCATTCTGCTCTGATATATTCACACTCTGAGCATTTCCTGATTCGACTTTTCTCTGCAGCAGCAACACAGAAAACAGCAGAGCTGAACATCAGGACAGATGTAAAAACTGGACTCTGGAAGACGACTTCCCTCTTCAAAATGAACAGCTGAGATCAGAACCAGTAAAATGCTCCATGACTCAGTTCAACACACTTTGCAGTGTCAGTCTTTGTCTGATCAGTAGCAGTGGCGGCTGGTGAAGATGTTTGGTGGGGGGGCGCAGTCTGCACATGACCTTTTATTTAAAATCAGAAATTAGAATATGAGCAACATCAGGCACAACTATTTACAGGAATGCAGACTGTCTACCTTTGGAGGATATTCTAAGCGTGACGCGACGCACAGGCCGCATTTGGCTACACAGACCAGTTTGTGTGTTGAGGTTCGCGGTGACGGCTCAGTTTCTGCGGTGGCGGGGATATTCGGAGATCCAGTTTGATATCCCGATTCCAGCACAGCAAACGAATGGTCGGCTATTCGGGCTCAGCCATATAAATTTCAAAACCATTCATCAAACTTTCATCACTATTTACAGGATCTGTACAAACTCAAAACACAGAAATAAAGAAAAAACACTGTTCAGGGCTCCAGACGAACTCTTTCACTGGAAGCACCAGTACGACCCACTTTCTCATTTTGTTGCACCTCCCACCTGGTCAAAGGCAAAACGTATGACTTGCTGAACATGTTCTTATCGATAGATGCTATGATTTACTGATGCTTCCTGAACGCCCAACACAGCAGGTTGTGGTAGCTGCTGCTGGTGGCTGTGGTGCTCTGACAGGTGTGTGACCAGAAATGACTTTAAAAATAATAAACTAGGGTGTTCTCATGTCAGATTTGTCCGAGGTTAAACCCAGTTACATGGATTCTACACGCGATCTTTTCTATGAGCAGAAAAACAGTGAATGCAGGTGTGCTCCGTTTTTCATGAGAAGACCTCATTTCTAAACATAAATACTGCAGCACACTGAAGCTATAAAAGTTCTACTTTCCACCACTGTGGTCCAGACAGCAGCTTCCTGCGCCGGTTACAGCGACACTAATACAGTTTCATGCTCATCAATTCACACACTCTCAAAAAAAAGGTCACAAATGCAGTCTGGACGGGTCCAGGACACACCGAGCTGCGCCCCGTGACAAAATCTGCAGCTGCCAATCAGAATCCAGGCCAAGGTCACATGATCACGAAAAGCTTTTCGAGCTACAGACACACTCATGTGGCTGCGCCGCATCCAGGAAGTGTAGAATTAGTAAACACGCAGTAAAGACTGATATTACATCTGTTAATGATACAAATATTGTTATTATAGCAAAAGAATGTGAACGTTGAATTTGAATTCTGAATATGAATTTCATTGTTATTTTGTTACAATTAATTCAAATTTAATTTAATTTTAATTTTTTTCAAATTATAGACCTATCAGCATACTCCTGATGCTAACAAAAGCTATTGAAAAAGTGGTCTCTGGACAACTAGTAGAACATTTGGAAACAAATTCATTACTTCATCCCATACAGTTTGGATTTAGAAAATGCCACTGTACAGACACAGCATGTTGTCACCTCATTGAAAACATTAAACAATACCTGGACAAAGGAGGAGTAGTTGGGGCCGTATTCCTCGACCTTCGAAAGGCATTTGACACCGTCAACCATGAAACATTGCTTTCAAAACTGGCAATCTATGGCTTATCATTAAAGACCTTAAACTGGGTGAAATCATACCTGTCAGATCGAACTCAAACAGTGCGAATAAGTCAGACCCAATCTACACAAAAAAAAAAGCACTGCAGGCCTTCCTCAGGGTTCAAATCTCGGTCCAATTCTTTTTGTAATATATATCAACGATTTGCCATCAGTATGTGAATCTGTCAAAATACAGATGTTCGTAGACGACACAATTATCTACACACATGGAAAAAACACGTCAGACGTTGCAGCAAAACTTACAAGTGCAATGGGGAAGATAGCTCATTGGTTACAAGATTCCTGCCTTACACTAAACACTGACAAAACTGCTGCTATGTTTTTCACCAA